GGGAGGAGGAACACACCTTATCCATGATTCATAGTATCCATGATAATCTCTGGAGTCGGGCAATGGACTTGGTACATTCCAATACGTTATGCTGGCATCGTAGTGACATCGTTACTGGGCTTCGCCATTCTTAGCACCATACCACAACTCGTTATGATTATGTTTACATAGTAAAGTAAGAAATTGTGATATTGAAAGTTGTGGTACGAGGATGCACGATAGATGAATGCACCAGGACAGGGGAGGTAGTGCAACTGTTCAGCAGACAAATGGTCAAAGGATCAACTTCATTTGACTTTTTTGACGAGTTATAGTGTGATGCTGGGAATGGGATTTCTCACTGACGATGCCAGAAAACACGTGCGAATTTCGAGGTCAGACGTGAAAATTTTCGAGGATATTATGAATTCCGAGCAAGGTGCTTTCTGCTATAGCTCTCTGACAATCCGACCCAGTTGCTGAGGCAAGGTCAAACAATTTTCATACAACGAAAGTTGGCCGCGACCATACTAAATACCATACAATCTTGACCTTCATACATTCGATCAAAATAAGTTACAGAGTCGAGGTTTTTGAGCATGTAAAGTCAATGTTGAGCAAACTTAAACAAACAACGCCATTCTTAGAAGTTGTTTTACCCTGTTTTCGCAAATCGGTCATGTTAGTAGGAAGACTTGGAGGAACGCACCTTGTCCGGAGTCCATTGTATGCATCATCATTTCCAGAGTAGGACCATGGACAGGGTACATTCCCAGACCTTTCGCCGGCATCGTCAGTGAATATCGCCATCCTTGGCACCATACAACAGCTTGTCAAAGAGACAAATGAAGCCGATCATTTGACCAAACGTGTGCTAAACGGTTGTGGTATCTCCCCTTCTGCACTGGGCTATTCACATGTCCTATATCTTTGTATCATACCTTCACTATCACAGGTAGTGTGGTGTGCTCCTTTGAGCAGCTTTCATGAAAACCATTCACACTCCACGCTGACTTTCTCTCCCCCTTCACTCTTGAGCTGGGAATGTTGACCAGAATCTGCCATATTGTTGCGCAGTCCTCCTTCTCTGGGTCTTATCACAGGCTCTCTCTTGCCCCGTAAGATCCGTCTACTCTCTCTCTCTGATTCACATATTTCACTCGACCCCTGCTACCACACAAAAGGCCACACCATCTTGGTCTTCATACCTTCGATTGAACGCCAATTTTAATTTGACTTTTCCCAAACTCATACGATTAAGTGACAATTCCGCTGGCCTCATGAAAGGTTTTCTCATCAGACTTGGATTGTAGTCTCGACTTTGCTTTCACACCCTCAATACCCCAAACGGGATTTGAGGCAAATCCGTGAGCATCGCCGCGATACTTTACCACTTCACTACGCAGTCTCGGTAGCCTGCGAATGGCAGAACAGACATGAACTTCACAAGCCAACCCTTCATAAATCACACTTCTAATGGGGTCATTAGATCATTTGAATTTGTTTAGGAATATGTTCACAGGAAATTTGTTGTTGCCCGAGTTAATTATTGTGATCGGTTGGGCGCTTATCCAATCTACTCCTGCATGGAAAATGGTGAATGTCGGAGAGTAAACCAAGTATATCTATTTTTCAATTATCCCGCAGACCAAAATTTAGCATAGCCCCAAATAACCCCCCAATTCACTGGAGATTTACGACAACTTGAACATCAGGTACATTTACTCATATCCTGTCAAGCATAAAATTCATGTAGTTTTGTATAAGTAGAGTTTCCAGACTACATCTTATATTATATCTACGTCACTAATGTTATTTTCGTGATCCAGGTCTTGTGAACTCCTTGACAATACTCTAACCAAAGCTAAACACACCCCCAACCCGACCACATGACGCCAGTTTCAATGAGTCACTGGGTCTGTTTGACCATCAGGACAACTCTGATATGCACAAATGTACAACTACAGCCACCTGGTGAGTGTCTGTGAGTCAGTTAGAGACTGAAATTTAGTTTTACTTATTTAGTTTATATTAGTACATAATTCAATTGGTAAACTTTCAAAATCCCAAATGATACAGGTTGTGAATTCAATCTGTGGCCGCCTTTCGCTTTTCCAACAGGAAGATGCCCATTCTGGCGCTAAACCGGCTCGTAAAGCATGTCTACTGCCCTCACGACAATTAATTGAAGAAAATGCCAATAAATTTGTTGCTAATTTGCACATTAACTGGACGTCCTACTCCGAAACAGACGGTCATTTCGACCATGTCGCATTGTCACCGCCTTCGAACGGCTCTTCAATCGGGGAATTCACACAGACGCGGTGAACGGTGGGAAAAACTGTCGTTTTTCCGAAATAATAAAGCATTTTTAAAGTGCATAATTGGCGTAGACTTTACGAGTACTCAATTCCCGTGGAAAGGTTGACACTTAAAGCCATATTCCTGCCAGCTGTAGGCCCTATTCAACTTTTAACGCTTCCGACAATTAATGAGTCTAAATTGTGAAGCGCCCCAACATTAATCACTCGACAAAACAGACCTTTTAGAGCGCCAGTTAACATGTCGCGCAGATCCCAACCATTAGCGAGAATCGTGGCCGTCTCGTCGACTAGCAACTGGTCGCAAGTGCTATCTGATTGCACTCATTCCTCCGCGCCAAGATGATATCTCTTTGTTTGAAGCCCTCTAGTCTCGTTATTGAATTCGTTCCTAAGCCAACAATCCAGAGCAAGTTGAACGGCTCTGTTTTTCCAAATTTATATTTACCCGTTGGCATGGTGGTTCGCTGGAACCAAGGCTGGTGGGCAGATCAGTTTGCACGTCGCGATAGCTTCAGTATCAACTTAATACTTTAGGCAAACAAAAGAGTGAACTACTCAAAGTTTTACCAGGTTTATAAAAATTTCCATACCTAATGGATATAGTAAAAATGTAAACACCAAGTCTACCCATCCTAGCATGGAGAAAACGAAATTCGTCTTCACATATTCCCCGGAATCGGTCTGTGGCAAGGTTCCAAAATTCCCTCAGACGACCCAAATTGTGATTCGTATCAACCGGAACATCGGCCCACATTTAGTTTGTGAAGATGTGATTGTGACCACTTTGGACACAGCTCGAATGTGTGATCGTCAACAGACCCCAAAGTGGCTCCCCGGCGATGGGATAGAGTTTACTACAGACTGGCCGGCTGACTCAAAGTGGATACAAAGAGTAACCGAATATTTATGAATCTCCCCAGACAATATGTTTGGGGAGACCTGCAATTCGTATGCAATTGCGTGAAGAAGATATTCGTGGGTCACAGTAGACAGACGGCATAAAACAGAGGATGAATTGCAGACTGACAATACGCATGCAATGATACCAGAAAATCCATATTTATCCTGGCCTTGATATGCTTCTCTCAACATTTAGTAGTTTTCATCAAATTTTTTGCAGGAAATCGACAGACACACAGACCCTGCAAGTGAATGAAAGGCTGTGTGGAACGACTGGAAATTGATCAATTCACAATTGGTTTAACAGGTTTTCGCAACTTGGTCGTATTGTTAGATAGTCGTGCCAAATAAATGCACATTGTCCGAAATAGAGGCGACAACTTCATCTTCATACCTTCGGTCGCACTAATTTGCCTAATTCACACTATTCTCGCTACCCGATTGGGAAAGCTTTCATTTCACATGAAAGTGCACAATGTCGGCTGATCCCACGTCCATTTGGCTCTAATACGACCTTCATGTTGACGCAGTTGCTGCGTTCCAAAGAGGGACGTGGACTGTCGGCAAAATATAAAACGACAGATGGAGGCCCCGGAATGAAGAGAGAAAAGGAATGGCATTACCAATTGTCCTATTTTGAAACTGCCCAATATGGTATGGGCGAGCTGATAATGGAAAGACAAGCATTAAAAGATGGCGACAAATAGAACATTCTAAATCCCACGGAACACGACGGAGCGGAAAAAGAGAAGGAAAAGTACGTGATCGATTTGATATACCCTTGCGTGGCTTTCCATGTCAACCTCTGATTGGGCGATGTGGTGCCAAGCTTTGATTGGGCGAAGCGAAATAAAGAGTCAAGATTAGTCACACATTCAGGTGATCTTTGCCCTAAAGGATGTAACAAAAAAATAAAAACATTAAATGGGAAAAGTGTGGGTCCCTCCCTCCTGCATCGTATTATGGACAACAGACTCTTTCGAAATGCTCATTTTTACGTGAAGTCTTGAGGATTGTTCGGCTCCATCTTACATGCTATACATACTGAGCTAAAAAATGAAAATACATACACACAGATGGATAGATAAACAATAATTTGGACAATTCTACTTCATATTTATTGTTGCATTTTAATCAAATGTGTACATGTGTGAATGTGTGTGTTTGTGCGTGGTAACGTGTCTATCCAATACCAGTCCCAAATTAGAGTAATTGCAAAAACTTAATGTTAGACTCTGGTCACCAAAGCCTGACCGAGATTGCGACTTTTATACGAATTGAATGTCTCCTCCATAATGTTAACTCAGGAAATTCACTCCAACCTCACTGCAATTGAAGAGATGGTATGGTCCCTATTATGGTTACAGTCTCCTTTCGCTGTACATAATTGGTTTGACCATCCTGTTGCCAGGGCAGACTAGATGGCCCCCACTTGTCTAAAGTTTGTTGCCATAGTAGTTATAATACTTTCCATCGTCGGACAGTGGACTTGGTACATTCCCAGTCGGTGTTGTCAGAGGCCTTGCCATTCGTAGCACTAAACTAGAACTCGGCAAAGAGACAAGTGAAGTTCATATGCGAAGAAAAGTTGGGTTGTGAGGAATTTCTTGTTTCATAATTGTTGAG